TCCATGCCTGAAGGTTTCTAGAACGTGCCTTTCTCATTGCTCCTAGTCATGGTAGCTCTTTTTCTTCCAAATGCCTGAAATGCTACCCATACTACTTGCTAAAGGAATCTGCTCTCCAGTTGTCCTCATTATTTTTTTTTTTGAAAGTCAATTTTTCTTCTGTTGTAGTTTAATTTTGGCATTAACGGCTCCCATTTTAAAAACCAAACCTCCATGGCTCCCTCCAGCTACCTTTAATCTTCCTTTTGAAAACGCCTCAAAGATTTGTGCTATATATAGTATTCACTTTTCACCACCACATCTTTTCTTTCCTCTTATTATTTTAAATGACATGCTTCAAAATTATGCATAAAATTTTATTTAGGGTTTTGAATAGGTAACCGTGTGCCTATAATTCAAAGGCATTAAGTGTTGCTCGGGGGCAGAATGGTTGCCTAGCAAGTACAAGACCCTGGATAGGTTCACTCCCCGGAACTGAAAATAAAACAAAACAGAAGAAAACAAAGGCCCCTTTTCCCAGAGCCTCATATTCATTATGCTCTATTCCGAACTTTCCCTCCCTACAAGCAACTGCTGCTGCCTCTTGATTTTTAGACAAGTTTTCACATATAACCTTATTTTTCTTTGTTAATCAGTAATAAGCCATCAAGCCTGATTCTTTTTTTGTTCATGTTGAATGTTCTTGGAAGGTCTTTTCGTTATAATACATGGAAAGCTGCCTTAATAATTTTAACAGTTGGAATGTTTCTCACTGAATGGATATTCATAGTTTATTTTGCTTTTTAAATGTATAGATATTTATGCTTTTCAGTTGTTTGTTTAACTTTGAACATATATTCATTTACTGAAATATAACTGTGTGCCAAAGAAAAGTTCCAGGAATTAGAACCACTGGGTTTACAATTGTTTTGTTCACTGTTATGAATCAATATTTAATCATCATTATCATTTTGACTGAAATGACTCACATGAACATTGCTGTAAGGGCTGCAAGGGGAAGGGGGAGAGCGAGGGATGGAAATGATGTAAACACAGTATTCATATATGAAATTCTAAAAATTTAAGTAAAATAAAGAGTACCAGAGTGTGAGAATTTTTTCAAGCCTAGTCTCTCTATGGGTTAGGCTTGACCCCAAAGCAATCCTGTCTCAGCTGAGATACAGTTTTGATCTCGAATGTCCCCCAAGGCCTTATCTGTGTGTTGAGGCCTATTAAGAGGTAACATAACCTTGAGGAGGTGGGCAGAGTGGTAATTAGGTCATTAACTGTGTGCCCTTCCTTGAATGGGATACACATTTCCCTCTCTGCTCCTGTCCTCAGTGACATACTGAGCCATCACAGGCCCAAAGCAACAGGGCCCAGTTATCACTGGCGGAAACCTCTGACGTTTGATGTTCTTAGGAATTTTGGTACAGTCATAGAAAGTTGACTAGCCTGCAGACCATTTAAATTCTAAAATAATTCTTTGTCCTCACATCACAGAAGGCTTCAGCAGCATGGACATAGTTAATTAGACCTTCTTCTTACTTACAGCACTTTTTTTCTTTTCATGTCTCTGGTCTCACACATTTCTGCAAGTCTCCTGACTCCTCTGATTCCTACGCCTTAACTTTCTTTTCTTGCTCCTACCATCTTCAATATTTGTGATCTGGACTGTTCTAGATTGTTTGATTCTCCGAATGTATTGACCTCTGTTTTTTTTTTTTTCCATAAAATCCTATTGTTTTGAATGTCATTGATGAACGGATGCCTCACACTTTCACCTCCAACTCTCCTCCCCTGAGTTCTGACCCAACAACCCCAATGAAACCTCTGTACAGATGTCTGATAAGCTGCATGGAACCTACTTGTCCCTGGCAGTCTCCCATGCTGCTCAGGGACAACTGAAGTCTCCCAGACGCTCCACCCATAAATCTAGGCATGAACTAACTGTGGCTCTGCTTCCTCCATCACCAACCACATCTACCCATCAAGTCTTGCCTCTCTTACCCCCAAATGTATTCCACACCTCATCGCGTCTCACCACTTTCTGTTGTCATCCCCTGTTAAAGACGATGATAAACAACTCTACTGCTTTTAACAACCTCCTCGCAGGTTCTATCTTCCAACAGATGAGCTTAGTGTCATGGCAAGGGCATCATGGTAAAGCCTTTCTTGCTGTAAGAAATATTATTTCTTCCCACATCCACTGAAACAAAGAGAAATTCCACACTGTGCATAAAAAGGGCCACAAATAAGAGCTGACAGAAGAAAAGATCATCAAGGAGCTGGGGGAGGTTGTCGGATTCATACAGTCTCCACTCCCAAATACTCAGGTGTACTTGTTGGTGTCATTTTGGCCTACTTATATTCCTCTCTTGGCTCCGAAACATTTCTTGTTATGATTTCAAGTGGATGGATCATTTCTGTCAGAGCACAAGGACTAAGGTTCTATGTGGGTCTGTTGGATGACTACAGATACCTCCTTAGGGATCACAAGATCTGGTAGCATCACATTTTCTTTGCTCAAAAGGCACCCCTCCTACTTACAAAATTAGTGATGAATAAAAGAATACTGCCATGGATTTAAAAACAGTATATTCAGGGACTGGAGAGATGGCTCAGCAGTTAAGAGCACTAGCAGCTCTTCCAGAGGATTTAAGGTTCAATTCCGAACATCCATATGGCAGCTCACAATCGTGTGTCAATCCAGTCCCAGGGGATCCAACGCTCTCTTCTGGTTTCTGTGGGTACTGCATGCACATTATGAACTATAGATACCCACGTACATAAAATAAATGAAAAAAAAATCATGTCCACATTGTTTTACATTGCCTATTTAGTAATAATATACTAGAAAATGTCCTTCAAACATCCTTGAAACTGTTTCAGTAATAGCTCATCATTTCAAAGGGGATCACCTTTACTAGAAGAGAACTTTGGATGTCTTCTTACTTTTAATGAAGATGTTATGATTTTAGAAGTCTATGAAAAACTACGTGTGCCAAACTTCAAGTGAAAGCAAAACATTTCTTTACAGAAATGTGCTGTTATAACCAGCAGTTCTGTGACAGTATTTATAAGAGCAATGCATTCAAGAACTTTAAGTAAAGCAGATGAGTGTTTTTATTTATTTGAACGAATTGAAAGAGCCTTTTCAATGTGCCCCACAGAGGCTGCCCCAGGAAGCAAGGGGCAAACACTGCATTGTTCCTTGCATCTTCATCCTCATAAGCAAAGCCCTTGGTTTATTGTCAGAGTGGAACACTTTTTTAGTAGAACATAACCATTAGCTCCGCAATAAGCCCAAGTGGATGAAGCTTGAACAAATGTCACATATTGACCAAAGACTGCATGGGAAAATTTCCTAAAATTTTTTGTATAAAAATGAGGAAGTTACTTGGTGCATATGGAAATTCCTGACTAATACCAAGCAGATACAACATTTGTCCTGCAACATCTCAGTTCTTTGAGGAACACCTTACACAAAGATGGGTAGACCACTTTTGAGTGAACTCAGTGAATAGCAATTTTTCTTATAGAACTGACCTTGAACAAGTTTGACTGGGATAAACAGAGGTAACAGTGATTTCATCTTATGAGAAAACTGAAAGTGGTGATATTAGAATTTGCTTTTAAGTTTACAGAGTGGGGAGAGAGAAGAGGAGGAGTAATTGTGAGCCATAGATAAGGGCTATTTCCTCTGTCTCCTTCGGCTGTGTGGGACTGTCATTCCTTCAGTGGAAGACAGCCAAGTTCAGTCTGTCTCCTCATAAACAGACATATAGAGCAAATAAAATGTAAATATTCCTACATTGTTGATCAACAAGTCTAAGTTCACAGGTGTATATGTAAATGGAATAGAAACAAAAATCATTTGAAAGAATATTATTATTATTGCTGTTGTTTTTTTTTTTTTTGGTCTAGGGACTGGTAGCATCTATAATGCTGTTAAATGACAATTACATTGGTACTCCAGAGAAACAGAGAGTGCTGGGAAGGCTACCTGCTTAGGTCATCTTAAATGGTCACATGTCATGTTGTATTTCATCAGTAAGGTGCTTAGGAGCTACTTAGCTACAGGGCAAAAAACGAAGCCTCTATCTCACTGTTTTCCTCAAGTGCGTGGCAGTACATGTCCATCGTGTACCCAGTGAACAAACCAAATTCGGTTCTGAAGGCAGTCCAAACGCCAACCTCTGTGCCCAGGCATGCTCCGCATCATCCCTCCATTTCGTTCCTTAACTTTTGGCAAGCAGCTATGGTTCTTTCATCCCCTTTAGGGTGTGAGCACCCGAAACACGAGCATGGCCCTTCCTTCTGCCACCCCTTCCTTTTCTTTGCCTATTGGTCTCTGTAAAGACGAAGAGGCCAAACAAGCCTTCCTTGGACAAGCCCCTACAGCAGCTGGGGACTCTGTGGAGGCGAGGTGAGAGGGTCTGTTTGGCGCTTTACCTCATTGATCCCGACCCACGGAAAGTCAAGTTGGAAAACTACCCCTGATTTCTGGTCCATACCCTTCTGAACTCCTACACAGATTCTATCGTTGTCTGTTTGATTGTCTCCAGATACGACCAAGTGATGGATTCGATGACACCCCTGACCTCTAGTTGGATTTCAGTACACCCTAGCCTCTATCCTTGGCAGGCTCTCCCGGTGCCCGCACCCTAAGGGGTGTTGGCATCACCGTTTGGAATCCACACCTCTCTCCAGGGTCTGGGACCAGATCCCTCCACGCACCGGAGACCACCTGCTCCACCCAGGACCGTGCCTGCTCCTGAAAGTTAGCCCTAGGGAAGCAGAGGCTGAGGGGAGACGGGAAAGGGCGAGCTTCAGTTCCGCGCTGTTCCATCCAAGTAGCCGGGGGAAGGAATTGTCACCATCACCACCACCCCCGTCCCCCAGCCCCTACCCTAGCGCTTGCCAGGCTGAGGCCGCGCCACCCTTCCCACCCAAGTGCTACCAGCAGTCCGCCGCCCGCTGCGCGCTCTCTGGTGCCCGGGGCAGCTCCTCGTACTCACCTTAGCGAAGCTCTGGGGGCTCTGGTCCCCAGCCCGCCGCGATCGTGCCCGGGCGACAGCGGCGCGTCCCGGCTGCTCCTGGGCGGCGAGCTGACTGCGCGCTGCAGCTTGGGGCGCAGCTCCGGGGCGGGTTCCAGACGCCAGCTCGCCCGAGGGCCCGACGCCCGGGGGGCTCCCCTCAGCACCCGGCTCTTCCAGCTTCTTCCACTTTTCCACCTCCCAGTCTCTTCTTTTCGTCCCCTCCCTTCCCTTGGACTGACGCTTGGGGAAGGGAAGGGGGAGGGATAAAGTCCCGTCCCTTTAACTCTCCTGATACCTTGGAGATTATCTGTTCGTGGAAATCTGGAAATGACGCGAACCACCTTTATGTGAACAGCTTAAAGCAAACGATCTTGTTTCCCTTAACTTTTCATCGTTGGACGGACTCCTTAAAACCTCTTTGGAAGACTAGAAATAAAGTGAGGCTCAGAGGAGGGGTACATATAGGCGTTTGAGGTAACAGTCATGGAGAGTGCCTTTATAGTCCTGATAGTTACTGGGTGGCTCCGGACATCTGTTTACCCACAATGTCACAAAGTAGGCATTTCTCGAGAAAGAACTGGAGTTGGGGGCAAAGGAAGGAGGAAGGGAGGAGAGGCACTGAATTCAAGGTTTATTCAGCTTCTTCCTACTCAGGTGGTTTATGCCAGAGGTGGCTCTACTGCTTTCGCTGGGATGTGACCTTGAGAGGATATTTGACCTTTGCTGTTGCTGTTCTGTTTGGTTTTTTCCTTCCAGACTTGCTTTTTTCATGATGCCTGTAAACAGGGGCTTCATCAGCCTACCTGGAATTACCAAAATCTGTTTTGACTGACCTTGGAATGTGACTGTTTCCTGAAGGCAGGCATTTTGTAAGATTTAAGCAGGTCTCCACTGATAGCAGAGGAGGGACGGACTTTTCCTGGCCAGAGATACACCTACTGTCCATTTGGTGGACCCAACCAGGACAGAGCTGCACCCTGAGGCTGACTGTAGATTTACCTTTCTGGGAAAAGCCTGTCATGTAGATATCCTTTCTGCTCTCTCACATGCCAGCACCTCCTATGATCCATCCAAATCGAAGTTTTAGAAATCTGCCTTATAATCCGAGCCTGTGTTTTCCAGCCCATGGTCCTCCTGTTGTGCCGCCATCCTTGTTCTCTTGCATCCTATATTTAAACAAGATGCTGTCTTCAGACATAATGCCTGGCACTTGGTACTCAGTAAATGTTAGCTGAGTTGTGGTCACTACAGATGGATGTCAGTATTTATTTCACATTCTTATTCCCTCACATATTTCTTAACTCACGTCCCTGTGTTGTGAATTGCACAGTTCTAGCCCCTGTTGCTTATAAATATGTGTCAGCGTAAATATATGGGGCTTATTTAGGAAATAAAGTGGAAAGAATTCCAGAGGAAGTCAAGATTTATAGGAGCAGAAAGCAGTTATTTCCCTCACTATTGTATTGACCATCTTGCTTTTACCTCCAGCATACTGTACAACAAATCTCATCAGTGACAGCTATAAAGTCCAAGGTTATGTACCACCTCCACAGGTCGATTAAGAACATCTCCAACTTCAGGCATTTCTGGAGTGACATTGCCCTCCAGAGATACAAAGATATTCTGAAAATGTAGAAATCAAATAGGGTTTGTCCTTCCGTTTAAGAAGGATAATAGGAGCCAGCTTGAAATGGGAATCTGAAGACCTCAAGTTTTAGAATACTTTCGGATGGCACACTTGGACTTGTGCAACTGGAAACAGCAATTCAATAGTGAATCGAGGGGAATAGAGTGTATTAAGTGCAGGTGTAGTAGAGATTACACTTGTAAAGCAAAAGGGATCTAAGTTTCCAGATGCCCCGCTGCTACTCCTGCAGGAAATGAATGTGCTTAGGCTGGGTGATGAAAAATACACCTTGCATGCTGCAGTAGGACCTTCTGCCCTAGAGGAGTTCCATTGTTATTCAGTGCACAGATACTTAAGCCAGCAGTCAGGACATCATCCCAGCCCCCAGCAACTTTTCTCTGGGTGACTGGAAGATAATGCAGAAGGAGCTCCTTACATCTCTTTGATAGACATTGAACTACACTGGAGAGTCCCAGGTTTTGGTAAAAATCTCATCAGAACCAGTTTTTAAGTTCCAGACTGATTAAAGCATTCCAAACAAGGTATTTTCTTTTTTACTAGTCCTTTTTAAAATAAATGCTTTTATTAGTGTACTCTAATTGTACAAAAGAATGGGCTTTATTATACATTTCATGCACGTCTATAAAATGCTCTGATTGTGCCCATATCTATTATTACCCTCTACCTTGTCCCTCTCATAAATCCTCTTTCTTTTCCAAGTAGTATCCTTTCTACTTTCCAGACTTTTGTCTTTTTAATTCACAGAGCAAACATGTGATGTCTTTCTGAGTCTCCCGTGTTTCACATAACATGATGACCTCCCGGCCACCACTTCTGGAAGGGAGTTCTATTTGAAAGTTTTTGTAAGAAATCAAAGACTAACAAGGCATCTCAGTGGCAGAATGCTTGCCGGGCACACCTGGGGACCTAGGTTCTTCATCTCCTACTAGAAGAAATCAAGGACTAAGTTCCCACAAGTACAACTTGCCAGGCTATGTTGATCCATGCCTATAAGCCAAGCACTCCAGAGTTGAAGACAAGTAGTAGATGTGTTTGAGGCTAACCCAAGTGACATAGTAAGACTGTGTGTCAAAAATCAAACCAAATCATACTCCCACAGAAAGCATCACTACTCATTTATTTTTAATTGTAAACATTTGTAGCAAGGGATATATATATATATATATATATATATATATATATATATATATATATATCTTACTGAGAAATATGCTATTTCTTGATCTTTTGCCAGAGGGTGATTTTCACCAAGGTCAAATTGCACCCTTTCAGTAATATTGATCTCAATTAAAAGCTAAGTTGAAGCGCTGTCATTCCTTTCAATTAAGCTGACTGCAACCGTGAGATAATTGTATAATCCAGGCACAATTAGAACAGACAGTGCAGGCATAGGTGACGGAACATTTTCAGAAATGGGTAATGTTTTCCTGAGTTATTTGCCTAAGCATAGAAGATTTACCCAACTTCTGTGCCTCCTAAGTAAGATAAATGGACTAATTTCACAATATCACAAGGCCGATTTATGGAGGATTACTTTAAATACCATTTTCTGTTTTGGAAAAAAAAGCAGAGTGAAATGAAAACTCGTCATAAAAGGAAAAGCAATCAATACACATCTCTTCCCCAAGTTTATGAGAAAAACAATTTGTATAATGGTTTCATGCCATTAAATCTTTGGGTGGTCACTTCCTTCATTATTGTGGAAGTAAGTAAAAGAACAGATACAAACCAACAATTCTATAGCAAAGAGAAGACTAGATTGAAAATAATCTTTATGATAAGATGTTTATTTTTGCAGAGATAAAAAATGTTTTGAAGCTATTTTTTTAGATATCTGTTAAGAACTGACTCAAACTTCAGGCTCATGAACTTGTCTAGTTTTTTGGCATAAATCATTATAATTTCCATGGCAGATAAAGGCATGCCATCTACTAGGCTTGAACAATGTGATGTAAGGGAAAGATGGGTAAAGAGGATGCTTCCGTATCTGCCATTGTGGTCAATTAAGCCACAGGTAGCTCACCTCTGATTTGAGAAGACCAGTAATGAACAAAATGAGCAGAGACATCAGCACAATTTCTTATCTATTGCCACAGTTATATCACAACATTCTTTTAAAAAATAGTTTTCTTTTTTCTTTTATTCATCTATTTATTTTATATCCCTGCCACAGCCCACCCCCATTTTCTCCTCCTAGTCCCTCTCTCCCATTTCCACCCTCCAGTCCCCCCAAATCCCTCCCCTTTCATCTCCATCCAGGAAAGGGCAGGTCTCCTATGAGTATCGATAAAACATGGCATATCAAGTTGCAGTGAGACTAAGCACCTCCCCTTGTATTAAGGCCGGGCAATTATGAGAAGTAGGATTCGAAAAGCCAATAAAAGAGTCAGAGACAGCCCCTGTCCCCAGTGTTAGGAGTCTCATAAGAGGACCAAGCTACACAACTGTAACATATATGCAGGGGGTCTAGGTCAGTCTCCCTGGTTATCGGTTCAGTCTCTGTGAGCCCCTATAAGCCCAGATTAGTTGATTGTGTGAGCCTTCCCGTGGTGTCCTTGACCCCTCTGGTTCCTACACTCCTTTCCCCTCCCCCTCTGCAGGATTCCCAAGGTTTGGCTGTGGGTCTCTGCATCTGCCTCCATCAGTTGATGGATGATGCCTCTCTGATGACAATTGAGCCAGGCACCAATCTGGTCACAAGAGATGGCCAGTTCAGGCTACTTATCTACTGTTGCTAGTAGTCTAAGCTGGGGTCCTCCACATAGACTCCTGGGAGATTCCCCTGTACCAGGCTTCTGCCTGACCTGAAATGCGCCTCTCCAGCAGTCCACCCCAGCACTCAACCCCTCCATACCCAGCCTCCCAAGCTGATCGCTCATGTTCCCATCCCCACCTGCCCTCAGCCCACTCACAAAATCTGTTCTATTTCCCCTTCCCAGGGAGACCTAGGTGTCTCCCCAATGAGTGCTTCTTGTTACCTAGTCTCTCTGGGTCTGTGGATTGTAGCATGGCTATCCTTTACTGTATAGCTAATATCCACTTATGAGTAAGTACATATCATGTTTGTCTTTATTGGTCTGGGTTATCTCACTTAGGTTGATGTTTTTCTAGTTCCATCCATTTTCCTGTAAATTTCATGATGTCATTGTTTTTAACAGCTGAGTAATACTCTATTGTGTAAATCTATCACATTTTCTTTATCCATTCTTCAGTAGAGGGACATCTAGGTTGTTTTCAGGTTCTAGCTATTACTAATAAAGCTGCTATGAACATAGTTGAGCATGTGTCCTTGTGGTATGACTAAGCATCCTTTGGGTATATGCCCAAGAGTGGTATAGCTGAGTCTTTTTTATTTTTGTTTTTTTGAGACAGGATTTCTCTGTGTACCTTTGGTGCCTATCCTAGATCTGGCTCTGTAGACCAGGCTAGTCTCGAACTCACAGAGATCTGCTTGGCTCTGCCTCCCAAGTGCTGGGATTAAAGGCATGTGCCACCACCGCCTGGCAGATTTTTTTTATTTTTTAAAATGTTATTAGTTCTTTGAGAATTGTATGTAATGTGCTTTGGTTACACTCACTCTTCACTTTCCTGATCTACCCCCATCTTCCCTACCCACCCAACCTTTGTGTCCTCCTTCCTTCCTTCCTTCCTTCCTTCCTTCCTTCCTTCCTTCCCTCCCTCCCTCCCCTTCTCCTTCCTTCCCCCCCTCTCTCCCTCCCTCCCTCCCTCCCTCCCTCCCTCCCTCCCTCTTTCTTTCTTTCTTTCTTTCTTTCTTTCTTTCTTTCTTTCTTTCTTTCTTTCTTTCTTTCTTTCTTTCCTTCTTTCTTTCCTTCCTTCCTTCCTTCCTTCCTTCTTTCTTTCTTTCTTTCTTTCTTTTTTCTTTGTTTGTTTCTTTCTTTCTCGTTAAGACCAGTTTCTGATGCCCAAATATTC